CCCCCCCCCCCCCCCCCCCCCCATAAATAAGTTTTCTAATGGTCTGTCCCTTATAAAACCTTGTTATTTTATAATCCTTTTAATATACATGGCGCAAGACGCCTGGAGTGTCATGTCGATGTGATCTTTAACAACTTTTCTCACTGTGGCTTATCAATCAATTAACAATATTGTTTAGTTAAATGTCTCCTTTTGCATTTTTATTTCCTATCGCTAAATTTGGAAGGTTTTATCATGTATTTATATTCGGCATGCAACGTTTTTATATCGTTCCAGCTACGAGCAACTCGTCTTCCCATTTGCGATTGGACTTCCTGACCAACCAACCATTATTGCATTAATTTCTTTGTCACGATTTCTGCAGAATTTTAAGGAAAAATATCCTTAAAAATAACCTTCAACGGGGCGAAAAAGAAGGCGATAAATTTGATAGCTACCTTTCTCCATAATAAGTAATTTTACATTTTAGGCAATTGTTATCTTTTCCGTCACACCTGCATGTTGGACTGATGAACTGAAATAAACGTGCACGGAAAGATTACAAGACAGACATTTCTTTGTGTTTTACTCACAAGGAAATTATATTTTATATCACAAGAAAATCGTACAGTAAATCTTTTAGTTCGGTTCAGTAAATTCTAGGAATCTACGGCCGTTAAAGGAGTTGATTACGAAGGCTATTGAACAAACATCCTCATTTGTCTTCTTACTGAGTGAGGGGAGGAATTTTCGTCAAACCTTTGAAGTCACCGAACCTCGAACTTCTGAACTTGTTAATCTTGTTTTCTCTCGTCAAACTGGTATTCAGAGTGCGAGCATCCGTTTTAGATTGATAAACCGGAGTGGTCATAACCGATCGATGAGCCGGCTGTACAAAGCGCACGGCTATTAAGCCTGAGGTCCAAACTGTATCCAAGCAACAAGCAGCACATGCTAAACATAGATCGTACTCGATTGATGCAGTATGAGTCTTGCTCGAGTATGACAAAATCGAGCAAGTGAAGCAAAGGCTTTGCTTACAGGGTGTACGTGAACACAAAATTATATTCTGACTCATGATGTGAAAGTAAAATGTTTCATCCAATAAGAACTTGCGTCTCACACCACCTGTGAACCTTAATCTTAAGTCCGTTTCTTTGGATTTTGAATTCTCTTAGGGTCCAAAGATTCTTAAGTTTAAGTTTAATTAGGTTTAATGATACTTTTTACCACTGTGCAAAAATAAATTTCAAAAAATAATAACAATCATCATCATCATTATCCAAAAAAAACTTTATATAAAAGCACAGTAGGTAAAGGAAAGCAATAGGGGCAAACTGAATTCCGATATAAAAACTGACCTCCCGACAAAACTAAAAGATAATTAACCATTAAAAGAGAATGTCTGAGTACGGTGTATAACTGTACATTATGTAAGAACTGAAAGAAACTAGAGGAACTACTTAGATAACTAACAAAAAAGGAGAAAAATCCACATACAGTAAGAAATAATAGAATGTGACTATTAACGTATCGGTTAAAAAATGAAAATTTAAAATAGTTTGTCCTTGCTGCTCTAGGCCTGCTTTTAAAGTCATGGTTACTTCTAGTTCTTGTTGGGCCATTCAGATCCACATATGTGATAATGGTACATTAGAATAGCCATGAATTATCTTGTAAAGTTGAACAAAGCAAAGGTATTTCCTTCTGAAATCCAATGTTGACCAGTTTAGTTTAGTGAGCCTTTCAGAGTAAGATTTATCAGATCCGCACATCAATCGAGTAGCACGACGCTGGATGGATTCAATACCGACTATGTGTTTAACCAAATATGGGTTCCACTCCGGGCAGGCATATTCCAGGATAGGACGAACTAAAACATTAAAAGCTGTTTTTATTGTCGCAGGATCTTTGGACCCAAAAGTTTTCCTTCTTCTCTCCTAATGCGACATTTTTCCAAAACGTCACAGATTTATCAGTCGTAGCTCAGGCATTTCACACAGTCGTTTATATATTAAGACCAACATCCTACAGGAATGATTTACACGCGTAAAGTACGGTAGGCTTTATTTAACATTGTTGTTTTTTTAAAAACTCAGCGCCGACAAGTCTTTTAAACTCTTTATTTACGTCCCTTTTGAAAAAGGCATAAGCCAGCGGGATAATGGCCGAGTTTAAAACCAGGACAGGAATTTTGTAAATTGCATCATTGCATGGCGATGAGGTAGTGTAGAATAGTAGTAATATTTTTAATTACTATGCCACGTATCTAACAGCAATGACTCTTATGTGATGTTACTGCAAAGGTTTGCAGCATTTTATCAGCCATGTGATAGTCAATTTGAAGTTTTAATTCATAACTTCTATATCCTTGTGAGTGAAAGGGTTTACTTAAGTTATCTTAGCTTCAACTATGTATCTTTGATCACTGTAAACACTGCATTAAGAAAATTCCTTTCTCCAGAGATGTAAACAACCCATCAACCTTTGAAGTCGAGGTGAAGAAAAAC